GAAAAAGTCTCGGATGTGTCTATTGACCAAAGCCGCGAGGGTTAAGTTAGCTTCATTTAAGGTTCTTGGCAGATCAAGTCTTTTTTCTTTTTTTTGGGGGGGGGGGGGGGAGGGAATGTATTTTGGTGGTAAGTCTAGATTTTTTACCATTTCCACCTTCACATCAATAGGGATATCCCTATCAAAAAGCGCCAAGGCAATGCAGTTGGTGATAAGTACCATAAATGATTGGGAAAATATTGTTTAGCGCTTTTCGCAATTCTTGGGCAAGTAGAGGAGCAATTGCAAATATTCTGCAGTGGTGCCAAATCTGTGCGAGGGGCAACAGCTGGCACAGTTGCTGTGAGCCAGGGCTCTACGTTGGTGGTCACTATCAATAGATTTACGTCGCGAATGCATTCCAATCATTTTTTGTCCAACTTGTATTGCCCGGCAATATTACACGAACCGGTAAGAGACGAAGACACAAAATAATTGTTGGCAGTGAATTAAAAAAAAATATAGGTTTACCGTACCTGACACTAGTGAACATGTATATTGTAAGGCAGTAAATTATACGGCCCATAAAGCGCGCAGATGTCAAAGCAATTGGTAGGCGAAAGTGAACGCCTTTTGCTGGCGTTTCGCCGATGAAAATGAGGACCAACAGCAGGAAGTACTCGTAATCGGCCCTTATTTGTTGCCTCTGTTTTAAGTAAGAAACAAGTTGTAAACGCGAATTCAAATAATTATAATTCGAGCGAAAATATAAAGTAAACACAATTACCTGCAAAGTTTTGAGGAGAAAGGTGGATATCCGTGCCTTTCCGTCCGGCGTCAGAAGTTTCATGCAAACGTTATAGCTAGAAAGGGCTGCAGGTGTAAAATCTGCCTAGTTTATGTCTGACCACTTTGACTCAAAGTTTTTGCAAAACTTTCCCAAGTCAGGGCTGGAAGATTGCTCCACAAAGTGCTCGAACAGCTGTTTAGGAATTACTTCCAGGGCATGGTGGTTGCATGCCAGGTAAATTATAGTTTTCCCTAGCCCCTTTTCGATAAACTTCACTGCTACTATATTGCACCCAATATGAGGTAGTGACCACACACACACACACACACACACACACACACACACACACAACATTTTCTGCAATGCCATATTTGTTAAGCTGAGTCACCACCTCTTCAGCTATTGCTTTACCCACCCCATTTTGCAAAATGGAAGAACTCAGCAGTTGGTGGGTTGGTCCCTAATCACCTCAAAAAACAGATCGCTGCTTGTCTGTGCAGCCCAGGAAGATAGCATGTGTGCATAGCTAAAGAAGATAGCTGCTTGTGCGTAGGAGGTGTCGAGACCACCCCAGACGTTCATGTTACACACGGCCCCAAGGTACACAGCACAGCCTGTTATGTGGCCTCATAGGCCGAGAACCCTCGAGGTTATGTTAGTGACAAAGACCACTTTTCAAGTGGTAAGGTGTATGCTTCGATAGAAAATCATTACTTGGGGGTAGTTTGTAACCCAACGAGCTCAACCCAAAAGGATTATGTCCTGATATGACGAAAATTGCCTGCAAGCTGGGTTAGCCCGACTTGGCCGCCCTCTCACCGCTGTTACACCTCCCCAACTGCGGATTTCTTGATTGCAAATAACCTTAATCATTCAGAAGCCACTTTATAAACGTTCATATTTGGTTCTGGACGTGCCAGATTCGAAATACAGAGGTCTGTTACAAACTGCCCTGGTTACACTCTGCCCCACCCTCCCTTATGTGGGGAGGCACAAGTTGTACCTAGCATAGGTACAACTGAATTCTTATATATGTAACGTAACGTAGGTGCAAATTTGTAGTTGATTTAGATGTGCTCAAAGACGCAACTAGTCTTCGTACAATAAATGTCCCTGGCCATTTAGTGCGTAACTGATAAATGGATTGTTAACTGAGTGACTTTACGCACGCACATCAATGCCCTATGCCTTATTTCGTTTCAGATGAATCAGCATGGTGCGCCTAAAGACATTCAGCAGTCCTTTGTGTTAATAATTCTAGCGGCAAGTCGACCCTGCAAGATGCACGTCCAGGCATTCGGACGTCTCGATCTGGAAAATGCC